GGCGGGGTGGCTAACGAACACCCCCCAAAAGAGGGTACGTACTTGAAATCAAGTTCATGTTCTGGAAGCAACTGCATCCACTCGAGTAAACTGAGTGCATGCACTAGTTCCAAGAAAATGAACTTGATTTTTCAAGTACCTGTTTTTGGGGGGTGGAGGGTGCTCGTAGGAGGGAATTTCAAGGCTGTGAGCTCACCGCGACACTGGACTCTGTAACGAGACAGACACGGAGCAAAAGGTGGCGTGTGTGACGGGTTACAGGGTGTTAAGGCGGGGAATATTGTCTCTCTCGTGTGTTCGCACGAATGTCTCTCACACAACACGACGGGCGTCGTGACGGCCGTGCTCCGCGTGGTGGTCCGGCCGGCCAATGATGGGACGAGAAAGCGACTGGTCGGGCTCCGGGCCGGACACTCTGCATGCTGCGGAGGCGGGTTTGATCGGATGCGTCGCATCATTAAAGCGACGCACAGCGCTGGCGCAACAGCATAGCGCGCGGGGCGCCGTCGGCTCCGCAGCACGCATATCCACGCAGCTAAGAGACCCCCGAGCCGCCGCTGAGCGCCGCCCGCCGGCCAGGTCGGCCCGACCGTAACCTACCCGCCGCGCTCACGGCGCTATGAGATGCTGTGTTTCGCAACCAGGAGGCACGGCGACGACAAGGTCGCCAAGGCTGCTCCGGCCCGGCCCGCCCAGGGCCTTAGCTTAGAGCCTTTACCTACCGACTGACAACCATCAATCAACGTATCACGGCTCTCCTCGCGCGGGGCGGAGCGTGGGGCGGAGCGTGGCGCGCAGCGGCGCTGTGTGTATCGCAACCACGGAGCTGCGCCGCCCCCCGGGGGGACGAATGTTTGCCCTTTTTTGCCGCGCTAGGGCGGACTCCTTCAGGACCGCCTACCTGCCTCTCTCGTGCGCGCAGTTATAAGCGCGATTGTCTAACCCCCTCGCAGCCCCGCCGCCGCGCTCCGCGCTCCCAGCCGGAGGCAGTCGGAGGCCGGGGCATGACGCATTCCCAGCGCAAGTGCTGACATTACCTCTCTGCCTGAGAGGGTGATGAGGACGTCGACAGCAGTCACGGTGATGGTGGTATGGTGGTGGTGGCTGCTCTGCAAGCGGAGCGGGAGGGGAAAGTCTCTGCTGGATTATTTTCGTCGAGTCTTTTTTGTGCGGCGGCAGCGGTGTGTTTCGCCTGGCTTCAGATCGAATCAAATAAGAAGCACAACGACGCTGCTCGGCTCGGCGTGCCGCCGCCGCCGCTGCGGCCCGTTTCACTTTGGCGGAGCGTCGCCCGGTCAAAAAGCAGCAGCAGCAGCAGCGTCGGTAGCTAAACACAGCCAGCCGTGGCCCTCCACCGGCCCGCATTATGCACCTGCCCACCTGTCGGCCCGCCCGCGCACCTGCCACCTGCCCCCGCCAGTCGCAGGCGCCTCCTCGTCAACCATCGGCGATGATGAAGCCCGTCGTCAGGGTGTTCCACGATCGATAATGAGCAATCGCTGCCTGCTGCGCGCTGCTCCCCGGCTCGAGAGAGCTTTTGTCCGGTCCCGGGCCAGTGAAAGTGTTGGTCCGGGCGACCTTCCAGCAGCCGGCCCCATACCATGCCGCACACTGCATGAGCCTGTCTGTTTCTGTCTCCCTTCCTCTCCCGGGTCTTGTTGAGCGTCCGTAGCCAGCTGTCTGTCCGTCTGCCTCCGCCACAGCGGCGGCAGCGGCAGCAGCGGCGGCTCACCCCAAGGTCGTGGCCTGGTAAAAGCCCCAGCTGGTCCGTCTGCTGCTGGACCACCACCAACATCACCACCACCACCACGTTCTCGGAATAGTTGTACACTGCCAGGCGGGAAACGCGGCAGGGGCGCGAGGAATAAACCGAAAGAGAGAATCATGTGGTCCTCAATCAAAAAAGCAATTCGAGTGAAAGCAAAGAGGAAAGGAGAGACGCATCAAGGAGAGACCGCAACCGGCATCGCCGCCGCCGTGGGCTTTGCTCCGCCGAAATTGGGCGCAATCAGCGGTTCGGGTGGGTCGGAGCGCGTGCCCCGTGCCGTGCCGTGCCGTGCCGTGCCGTGCCGTGCCGCCCAGGAGCTCAACAAGTGCAGCGGGTACCACGGCCCGGGCCTTGCACTAGTTGCACCAGCTCACCTTGTCCCAGACTGCAGTGCCGCACCGGCCCCGGCCCGGCCCCCACCACCATGGGCGCCGCACACTAGTGCGCGGGTCACGGCACGGCACGTCACTGCCCGGCTGGACGTCGTGTCCCGTGTCGGCCGCGCAGCTGACAGTCTCGCCTCCTCTCTTGTCCGCAGATGGGTGTCGAGCGGACAGAGTTGTTCGGTGCGGAGCCCTACGAGTGCGGGCTGAGCGAGGAGCTGCGCCGGGCGGCGCGCACCGAGCTCCGGGAGGACGAGGGCACCCGGACGCACGCGCTGCAGCAGATGCGGGACTGGATCGCCAAGCACCCGCACATCAGAAAGTGCCGCACGGGTGAGTCCTCACCTTTCGCTGTACAAGGTACGTTAAGGCGGAAAAGAAATGAATAAAAAAAAAGTTACCTTTTGCAGATTCCCTGTTCCTGTTACGGTTCTTGCGCACCAAGAAGTTCTCCGTCCCCATGGCGCAGGAGATGCTGGAGCGGTACCTCGCCATCCGTCAGCTGTACCCGCACTGGTTCAAGAACCTCGACGTCACGGACCCCAAGATCAGCGACATCCTGGACGCCGGGTGAGTCCTCCTGCGGAGCTGTGCATAGGCACTCCCGCGGCGCGCGCCCGCGCTGCTCGGTTGCCTATCCCCGCTCTCGCAGGCGCCCTGGCGCGCGGAGCAGGAGCAGCCCAGTCCTTGACCATGACCTCCGCCTCCTCCTCCTCGCCCCGCAGCTACCTCATCCCGCTGCCCGAGCGGGACGAGTTCGGCCGGCGGGTGCTCTTCTCGTGCGCCGGCCGCTTTGACCCGTACAAGTTCTCGTCGGCGGACATGGCGCGCACGCACTCGCTCGTCGTCGAGGCCATCATGGACGACGAGCAGAACCAGGTGTGCGGCTACTCGTACGTCAACGACGAGGCGGGGCTGACGACCGGCCACGTGTCGCTGTGGTCGCTGTCCGACATCCGCAAGATGATCCGCTGCCTGCAGGACTCGACGCCCATGCGGCACAAGGCGACGCACTTCCTGAACGTGCCGAGCCTGGCCAACAAGCTGTTCGAGTTCTTCACCATGCTGCTCAACGACAAGCTGCGCAATAGGATCATGGTGAGTGACGTGCATGATGAGTGAATGGCGCCACGGTTGACAGCCTCTTGACGGCTGGGGGTACATGAGACTATACTGGACAGAGACTAGAAAACCTGAGACTGGACCTGAGACGGACATGAGACGGACATGAGACGGGACATGAGACCGGACATGACCTCGGTCGGGGGGCACCATGGGCAAAGTCTCATGTCTGTCTCATGTCTGTCTCATGTCTGGAGACATGAGACTTCTGTCCGAGACATGGGACTGGACATGAGACCGGACATGACCTCGGTCGGGGGGCACCATGGGCAAAGTCTCATGTCTGTCTCATGTCTGTCTCATGTCTGGAGACACGAGACTTCTGTCCGAGACATGAGACAGACATGAGACAGACATGAGACTTTGCCTATGGTGCCCCCCGACCGAGGTCATGTCCGGTCTCATGTCCAGTCTCATGTCCGTCTCAAGTCCGTCTCAAGTCCAGTCTCAGGTTTTCTAGTCTCTGTCCAGTATAGTCTCATGTACCCCCAGCCCTCTTGACGGTGGATGGTTGATGTGTGTTTTCCAGCTGCACACGAGCGTCAAGGACCTGCACGAAAACATCAACCCCAAGATCCTCCCGAAGGAGTATGGCGGCACCGTCCCTATGGCAGAAATGATTGGTCAGGCTTCGTTGTCTTACTCTTCCTCGTCCTTTCGCCCTCGTCCAGTCAATTTCCGTTTTCATGGTGGACGTTTTCCCTCCTTGTTCTTTCAGCCGACTTCAAGAAAGAGCTGGTGGCGAAGCGCCCGGCACTGCAGGCGCTGGACGACATGGAGATCGAGCTGCACCCCAAGGCGCGCTACGTGAGCGACATGCAGGAGGAGCTGGCGGGATTGTCGGGCTCCTTCCGGAAGCTGGAGGTGGACTAGCCCTTTACCCCCCCC